TCTCGGAGCTATCGGTCTGATAGTTGCCCCTTGGAAATTTGATGTTCTTAAATCTACCATATTTGCCCTCGAAGCGTCGCTTCTCGGGCAAATATTTGTTTTAAGAACATCAAATTTCCGCGGGGGCAACTATCAGCCGAAAGTTACTCCACAGAAACACTCTATTGTTTAAATAGAAATCTCGAGCTCATAATCTAATTGTTAATTAGACGCATCTAACAGTTGACAAGAACAGTATTATAAAATTGTTAACTTTTCAATTAGAATAGGAATTCTAGGATAAAACAGTGATAGTGATAGTGATGGTGATTGTGATTGTGATATATACCAGAGAGCATAAGGAGAAGTCAGTTCGGCCAGTTAGTGTTCACCATTACATTTGTTACCCGTGTAGACGTTATAGATTGCAGAACACTTACAGTCCAAGTTATGTTCAGTTCTTCAGATTTGTTTGATTTTCCCCTGAGGTTGTCCGGAAATTTTTCTGGAGCTGGTAGCGAAAGCAGAGATAAATCGACATTCAGCATCTCCTTAAAGTGCTCATACTTTTTCAAGTCAGCTAAATTTACCATTTAACAATGCTATGTTCATTTCATGTCCATCCCTGAGCAGACAACTTAACCGGTAAGTAAATAAATTACAGTATTTAGACAGGAAACCACATCTAATTTTTATGTGGGTCCTATATCCTGGTCGAATTTGAATTTGGAGATTGTTTTTTTTTTTTGCGGAGGGAGGAAAACCGGAGAACCCGAAGAAAAACCCTCGGAGCAAGGCAAGAACCGACAACAAACTCAACCCCCATATGACACCGGGCCGGAATCGAACCCGGGCTACATTGGTGGGGGGTAAGCGCATTAACCAATGTACCACCCCTGCTGTGTTCAATTAACAACACATCTAGGAAACTACACGAGTTTCTGTGTAACTGTTATTCAAGGTCAATCTCTCGACTTGTCAACCTCGTTAACCTTAGGTGTCTTTCTCTCTCCACACCCAACAGCGAGAGAAGAGAAAACTATTTGTTTGTCATCTCCAAAATTCTGGGTGACGCGTGACGAGCCTGTGCCATCGCTTTTTTTTTTTAGGNGGGGGGGAGACCCTCGGAATGAGGTTGGCTACTTGTCTCTTTTTCGCAAGAGGAATCTTATATATAATTATCATCTATTTCAAACATACCACCAACAGAAGTGCTGCAGACCCCTTCTTCTGTGGGTAAACTCGGACGACTTGAGCCAAGGCTGGTTACGGCTAACATTCGGAAGCGAAGAGTAGCCCAACCAGTAAGATTTAATCTAATAGATGTGGCATTGGGGTTTGTGACATTGAAGATTAATCTGAAGACATTAGGCTCGTAGTTTGATTCTTGTTCTACCAGGAAATGCGTAATGGGTGCATCATTTGAAGCCCTGGCAACCCAAGACAGCGTTGTAGTTCGATTGTCGCATGTGTCAGTTATTTTCAGATTTGTCGGAGGATATGGAACCTCTGTGGAGAATCATAAAAAGCAACAATTTCTTAACAAGACCAAAATACAATGTTTACGCATTGATATTTTTTTAAATTATATATTAATTTATATTTTAATATTTATACATTAATGATACATTTACATGAACAAATATCGGCCAATTTCATACGTTTGTGACTTAAACAACGTTATAAGCTATGGTGGTGAAACTTTGTTTTTCGTTCGTGTGCCTATATAGCCTCGGTCCAAAAACATGGAAGAAAAGGTTGACGATATTCAACATTTTGACCTTAACCCTGGCGAAATTCCTCGTTAATTTCAAAAGAATTTTAGTCTGTTTCATTTTCAGCTTTCAGGCATATGCCCAAAATTTGAAAACCGAAATTCTCCAAGTCTAATTTAGATTTTTGATCACGTGAACGTTCTTTTATCTTCTAATTAGGATAAATATTTCATCTAGGAAACTTATACATCTAGGAATGAGATCCTGATAAGGTTGACACGGCGGAAATCCCGTTTGCTTACCAAGAACGTAGGCTGACGCGTTTGCGCTGGCATCACCCAAGAAGTTCCTCACACAACATCGATATTGACCAGCATCTTGTTTATTAACCTTGAATATTACCAAGGTTCCATCTGATTCCACTAGATAACGAGCACCAGTCTTTATTTCAGAGCCTCCCTTGTACCACCGAACTGTCGGCTTAGGTGCTGCCTCGGGTTGGCATTTCAACTTTGCTTCACGATCTTTGTACAAGTAAAATGGACCAAACTCTACAAAGGTCGGTGGCATGGCTACAGAAATAAAAACGTCACAAGCAGTCACCTAGCTAATTTAAAAAAAAAAGATAATAGCGCTTGGGTTTGTCAAGTAAATTGGGAACTTAATCAAGCCACGCACGACGACAACGGCAACGAGAACGTCACTAAACAAAAGGTTTAATGAGCAAAACAAGAGCTCTGCACGTGCGTTATAAATCTTTGAACATTTCTTTGCCGTCCTCTTCAAACAAGGAACGTGAAATGACCAAGTTCTGCGTAGTCTGAGGAATGCGAAAGACGACGGCTATTTTTTCGTATTCACGTGCATTTGGAATTAAACGCTGTCATTGCATATTTAGCCTAAACATGTTTTTAGTGCCACTGGCATACTGAACAGATCTAGACAAATGCGAATTTCATTGGTAAAATATAAATTTATTTTTAAATAGGCATTGTCCTCGGCGTCGCCGTTGTCGGTGCTTAAGCTCCCTAATGTGTATTATAAAACAACGAAAATGCTTTTGGGGATTAAGAAAAAAAAAAAGAAAAAAGAAAAAAAAACATAAAAAAGCTAGGTAAAGCCCTTAGGGGGTATTACCGGAGAATTTGGGTGGGGCTGTCCACATCAAGGCGCTTTTTGAGAACGCTATCTTATTTCAGAACAAAACATGCGATTTTCCGACTCCATTGTAGATCTAACCATGATCTAATACAGGATTCGAGACCCCATTTCAGATCAGGCTCTGCCCAGTACTGCTTCGGTTTGCAAAAACAATTGACAAGCGCTTCAAATTCACGATGTCAATTAAACCGCAATTCTCAAGAGATGAGTAACAAAAATAATAAATAAGTTCCTTCAAAGAAATAGATCTATTACTGCCCTATATTATACCAAAAGTGCTAAAAATCAGTACCCAATGGCGCTGTTCCTGCCTGGTTAGCTTACATAAGGGAGTATTTCTCCCAGAATAAACGTGAAATCTTGTTTAGCAAAGCCTGCATACCAGTCAACTGGCCTATTAGGCCGAAGTTTATCCCGGTTTCTGTAGCGTTAAGCGACTACGAGTATCTATACTCCTCTCTAGATGGGATGCTAGTCAATCCCAGCGTTCCCCCAGCATTAAGGTCGCTGGTACACAACGGGCTCGATTCAGGGCTCCATCTAGGACCGCCTGATCTGTAGACGAGCGCACTAACCAAGAGCCCCCCCTCCTACCCACCACATCCCCCGCGGAAATCTGGTGAAGGGTTGATAAATTTAGTCCACATTGTGGCAAGGTTAAAATATGGTACGTGGCTCAAGTTAAAACTTGGGGGCACCGGGGATTACAGGGGCAAACATTCAAATCGAGTAATTACCGCGCACATTCACCCAAGTGGAAGACACGATCATTCCCAGTCTATTTTCTGCTACACACTGGTAAACACCATCTTCTTGTAGTGTCACGTTTTCGAACTTCAACGTATCGTTAGCTACTTTTACGTAAGACCTGTAGAAAAAAAAAGATGGCTTAAGACCTTTGTGTACAATTCGATATATTCTGTATTACAATCCATCAAATATTTTCGCTGGCGCGCGATTGGTCTAAACACGTCACGTGACCGAATATTCCCCAGCTGACACTGGGAAATATCCGAGATTAGTATATACCACACAAGTGAATAGTGCTTTTCGCGCGCTCTGACTGGTTAACTCGGAGGTGATTAGCAAGTACTATTCACCTCCGANTAAAACAATTATTCACCTCAGTGTCGGTGAAAGTGATGGATATTTACCTCCACTTCGGTGAATAATTGTTAAATATTCCCCAATTTTCAAAACTGCGTCCGTTGCGAAAAAGATTTGAAGAAGAATAAACGCAATAGCCTCCATTTGGGGCGAAAATATGCTCGGATATTTGTCCTTGCACATTATCTGTTCCTCGAAGCTCACAGTTTTCCTCGAGCTACGCTCTCGGAAACTTTTTGCTTCTCGGAACAGATAATGTCCGCGGACAAATATCCTAGCATATTTTCGCGCCAAATGGAGGCTATTTTTTATTTGTATTGTATCACAGTACATCGCATCGCATCGTATCGTATCGTATTGTATTGCTTTGTATTTATTGTATTGTATTGCATCGCATCGTATCGCATTGTATTGCATTACATTGTATTGCATTGTATTGTATTGTATTGTATTGTATTGCATTGTATTGTATTGTATTGTATTGTATTGTATTGTCACTTTATTATGGATAACTCGTATAACATATCTGTTTTCGCTCAAGCATCGATCCTTCATTGACCAATCTTGTTCTGTCAAGATGGCTGGATACTGACCGCGTTGGTTTGGGCATCCGTCTTATGGACTTCGAATGCGTGTTGGTCAATAAACAGGCTGGAAAGAAGTTGGCCTCTATTCAGCCATCTTGATCTCATGCATCAGGCTTGGTCAATAACCCGGAATATATTTATATTCATAAGTGACGTCGTTGCCTGCTTTTAAGATATTTCCACGGGTACCATGTTGGTCAGTCAGTACAAGGTTGGTCCAGTTCAGCCAGACCAGCTTCTTGAAAACGTTTGTCATGCGGAAATGTTGCGAGTCTGACTCAAAGGTTATGCTCATTGCATCCATTTGATTAATTAAGCGTTCTGCCTTTTAGGTAAGAACAGGGCCAGTGCCCACACTTATTCACTAAGATATGTCTGTTTCTGTAAAAATAAGTTCTTTATCCCAAAGATTGTGACACTATATATGCTACATAGTTTACTTACGTCGAGGAAACGATTCTTGTGCCATCTTTGTACCAGGAATATGACGGCACAGGGTCTGCAACAGCGTTGCAAAGTAATGTACCTTTCCCTTGTATGTCAATGCTTTTCTTTTTCGGGGGAGGGATGTCGGCTTTCCACCGTGGAGGAACTAGACAAAGACATGTTGAAACTGGTTAAAAATTCTGCTAGGCAACTGTCTCTATTACAGACAAACTAAATAGTTTCTAAAGAATGCGTTGTACTGCACCAATGGAGAAACAAAATACTTGTGTGATCAAAAGGAAGCCTGAATTCTTCTTCAAGCGAAATCTTGCTCCGGGGAAGAGTTGCTTATCGTCCCGTTGTTTTTGTTTTTGTTTTTGTTGTTTGTTTGTTGTTTGTGTTTTTTTTTCTTTCATGCTAAAGGTACAGACCTGTTTTCAGTTGGTGTCTGACTTTTTTTTTTTCCATGCATTGTTCTTCAATTTTCACATACTTTTGTGCTTAAACTTTTTCAGGCAACCAAACAAATGTTCACATTTCGAGAAGTCGAGAGGAGCGATTAACATAAAAGGTGGACTGAAATGATTGAGATCCACCACTGAAAATATTTATATATACATGTATACACCCTAAGTTTCTCAATTTTTAAGATAATTGTATTGTAGCATAAGGTAATTATACTGTAGTAGATAGTGGGTCCACATCAGCTTTCAGCCGCCATTTCTGTAATTCTGTGAAACCTACTTATCAAATAAAGAATGAATGTATGTACGTATGTATTCATTGTCCAGACTTGTTGCTTCATCCAAATAGACTAACACTATAGCAACGTAATTTACCTTCTACATTCAGGTTTATTGTGTAAACTAAAGGGTTTCCACTGTTTTGAGAATTTTCAGCTTCACAAGTGTATACGTCCTGATGAAGATCCCTCTTCACATTGATAATCTTAAGAAGTCTTCCATAGAAGGCGTCAGGGATCTCAAAGGAATTCCATCCGTTGATGATTTCTTGGCCATTTTTTTTCCAAGTTATTTTTGGTGGAGGCCTGCAAGTTATGATATATAATATGATATGACATGACATGACATGACATGACATAACGTGATGTGATGTGATATGGATGTGGTGTGTTGTGATGTGGTGTTGTGTAGCTCGACGTGATGTGAGGTAATGTGATGTGATGTGATGTGGCGTGATGTGATGTATGATGCAACGTGGCGCGTGATGTGTGATGTGACGGGATTTAATGTGGTGTGATCCGATGTATGATGTGATGTGACGTGATGTGTGGTGTGACGTCATGTTATGTGACGTCATGTGACGTGACGTCATGTGACGTGATATGGTGTGACGTAATGTAACGCGATGTGGTGTGATGTGATGTGATCGTGAACCGATGAAATAACGCGCGTGGTTAGCACCAGTACAGGCATAAAAGGTTAAGACTGCCCTATCATGCCTCTTTTGCGAGCTTTCATTTTGTTTTTCGAGCTTTCATTTTGTTTTTCGAAACAGTACTTGGCAGGGAACAGTCAGGGAAAGTTTGAGAAAACTCTTTCGACCATTTTTATTTCTGAGGAATCACCTCAAGACATCTCTTACCAAGTGGAAAACGTGAGCTTCCGTCAACTAAGAGAGTAATTTATCTACAGACATAAACACGCTCACCTTCCAACAGCAAAGCAGTATAAAGTTTTGTTTTTTCCTTGGGTAGCCGGTTCACTAGTTGGCGTTATTCTCCAGGCAGGTGACTGTGGGGTTCCAGGATCTATCCCGTCTATGTAAAGAAATTTGATCACATTTTTTTCATTACAAAATAGTGAATTGGTTATGCGGCGCCCGCAGAACTTAAAATTATCTATATATTAACTTCTGAGGTGGCCTCCGTTATAAGCCTGGTGGTTTCTTTTGGAGGTCTCCTTGCCGCTTTTTTAGTATTGCTAATACCAGTTGTTATCATTTACGTAGGAAAGAAATGATGATGATGATGACGATGATGATGATAAAATTTATGTCAAAGACATTAAGCACTTAATGACTGGCCCCCAGAGTGAGAAAAGAGTGAGTTTTGTTTCCCCGAGACCTTCAATGTTCCCCGAGGCGAAGCCGAGCCGTAGGGAAGTCCGAGCCAGAAAATGAAGGCCATTCTATTTTTTCTTTTTTTGCTACCCAAATAGGGGGTCATAGTACCAGGTTAAAGTGCTGGGCGATCCTACCGGGAGAGCGTGGAAACTGGGGATGAGAATTGCGATAGCTTGTGCTCTTCGCGAGCAACATAATTTTTAGAAGGCTGGGTTTTATGAGGAATGGTTTGAAAAGAATCATGCCTGATACGCTCATCTCACATACAAATATGTCGAGCGTTTTCGGAACGGGTCTGTCCACGAATTCTATTACTTAGAAGCTAGCCAAATTAGCGAAAAACGAAATTCTTCGTGAACAGAACTTTGAAGGTGGAGAAAACAACAAGCAATTGGACAAAAAGGATGCTCAACAACGCAACTTGAATAGTAAATATATAAGCTTAACCCTTACGTTAAATATAAATATTTTTTTTCTTTGTTTTAATTGTGACCAATACTTGTAAAGTACGATTTGATATTGCGATACGAAGCCCAAGTAAACTCTCTTGGGGAGTCTAATTTTATAACAACTGCAATACTTATTGAGGACAGCCTTGGCCAGCCATGCCCTGTAGCCATAGCGACCGGCAGCCAGCCAGCCAGACACAAGCAAGGTGGGGGCGT